TCATTAAAAATTCTTGCTAATGGGCTTGCAATTTCATGTGCCAATTCCTTTAATATTCTTGGATGAAGATTATCTGGGACCCCCGATTTAGTCCCATTAAGCTGTTTGAGTTTCGCTTCTACCTCAAATATGGTAATGTCTACCTCCATATCCTCATTCCCATTTGTCACGCTACCATTATCCCTAAGATCCTCTTTAGTCTTATTAAAGACTGAGGCAAAGTCTTTGTTTAGATATTGGGCCATGCCTAGATTATCCTTGACCTCCATTCCATCCTCAATGTTTAGCAGTCCCACTTCTTCTTTCTTTGTTTTCTTCTTATTTATATGACTATAGAACTTTTACTATTGGTTTTAATTCCCTTTGCAAGGTCCAACTCTACTTGACTTTTAGCCTGTCTCACTTTATCCCTACATGTTCTGACCTCAATAAGGTAGCTTTCCTTGCTGATCCCTCCCTTCTTCCACTCCCTGTATGCTTTCTGCTTTTTCTTAATCACCTCTCTGAGATGCTTGCTCATCCAGCTTGGTCTACAACTCCTGCCTATGAACTTTTTCCCCTTTCTTGGGATGCAGGCTTCCGATAGCTTCTGCAGCTTTGATTCAAAATAATCCCAGGCCTCCTCTACCTTTAGATCTATAAATTCTTCAGTTCAATCCACTTCCCTAACTAATTTCCTTAATTTTTGAAAGTCAGCCCTTTTGAAATCAAAAACCCTAGTTGCAGATTTATTTTTGTTAATCCTTCCGTTCAGTTTGAACTGAATTAGCTCATGATCGCTTGAACCGCGGTTGTCCCCTACAACCATTTCTTCTATGAGGTCCTCACTACTCACTAAAACCAAATCTAAAATGGCATCCCCTCTAGTCAGTTCAGCAACTACTTGGTGAAGGAATCCATCAGCGATCGCATCTAGGAACATCTGAGCCCTATTATTATTACTAGCACTCGTCCTCCAGTCTGTATCTGGGAAGTTAAAGTCTCCCATGATCACACAGTTTCCATTAGTATTTACTTTATTAAAACATTAAAAAAGGCTCTATCCATATCCAAACCAGATCCCGGCGGTCTATAGCACACCCCAAGCTCTATCCCAGGGGAGGCTCGAATAGTTTTCTTCCCCAATGTAATTTTTGCCCAGACAGACTCAGTCATATCCATTCCATCGCTTCTTATTTCTTTACATTCTACCTCATCATTGATAGACAATGCTACTCCACCACTTTTACCTTTATTTCGGTCTTTCCTAAACAGCACATACCCTTCAATACCTGCAGCCCAGTCATGACTACTATTCCACCCTGTTTCCGTTATCCCTAGAATATCTGGTTTCACTTCCTGCACCAGTAGCTCTAGTTCCTCCATTTTGTTACCTAGGCTCCTCGCATTGGAGTACAAACATCTTAATTTTTGCTGTTTGGCCTCACTCACATTCTGTACCCTATTAGGCACGGTCATTCTACAGCCAGTATAACCTATTAGACTGGTATCCACACTGCCCTTCCTCCTACCCACGGCTGTATCCTTTCTTACTTTGTTTTCTTTCCTCTCAATGCTAAAATCCAGCGTGGAGATTACCTGGACATCTCCCAGCCAAATTCCTAGTTTAAAGCTCTCTTAATCAGTTGTGCCAGCCTCCATCCTAGAAGTCTATTTCCTTCCCTACTCAGATGAAGTCCATCCCGAGAGAACTGTCCTCTGTCCATGAAGGCCTCCCAGTGGCCATCCATCTGAAAGCCCTCCTTATAGCACCACTGCCTAAGCCATTGTGGTGGGGAATCAGCTGAACACGAGCTCCCAGTACAAAGTTGTGTCCAAAAAAGCTAATGCCATCCTGGGAGGCAGAAACAGGGGAATCTCGGGTAGGAGCAGAGTGGTTATTTTGACCTCTGTGTTTGGCCCTGGTGCAACCGTGGCTGGAATCCTGCATCCAGTTCTGGTGTCCACAATTCAAGAAGGATGTTGATCAATTGGAGAAGGTTCAGAGAAGAGCCAGGAGAACAATTAATGGATCAGAAAACCAGCCTTATAGTGAGAACTCAAGGAGCTCAATTTATTCAGTTTTACAAAGAGAAGATTGAGGGATGACTCGATCTCCATCTATAAATATGTACCAGGGGAACAAATACCTAATAACATGCTCTTCAGTCCAGCAGAGGAAGGTCTAACCCCATGCCCTGGCTGGAAGCTGAACTTATACAAATCCAGACTGGTAAGAAGGCTGACAGTTTTGACGGTGAAAGTAATTAACCACTGGAACAATTCGCCAAGGGGTTGTGATGGATTCTTCATTAGGGACAATTCTAAAATCAAGAGAGGATGTTTTTCTAACACCTCGGCTCTAGGAATTATTCTGGGGCAGTTCTCCGGCCTGTGCGATACAGGTCAGGCTGGATGATCACAGTGGGCCCTTCTGCCCTGGGAATCTAGGAATTCCTCAGCACACAGAGAAGCTTAAACAGCCCAGCCTAGGGACCCCGGTGAGCTGTGCTCTATTAGTGACCTATATCCCCAATGGCCTGCTTGCATGTGAGTTTCTCCGGGCCTCCGCCCCAGTAAAAGTGACTCACATAGTACGCTTTTGCTTTATTGCAAGGAGGGGGCTGAATTAAGGAGGCGTCTCCGAGGGAGCGAACGCTCACCATTGCCTGGGGCCACCGGCTGGCAGGAGGTTAAAAGCAGGCAGCCCAGGGAAGTGCAGCGGACGAGACTGGGGAGCTGAGCCGGGCCGGATCCAAGCTGCCCGGGTGCCAAGCAGGGCGTGGGGCAAGTGCTGCTTGTGGAGGTGATGGGACAGGATCCGATTCGTCGAGCCCGCGTCGGCACGGGCGAGACAGGGAGATAGCCAGGCCAGTTCTGCAGGAGGAGGGCAGTACAAGCTCGGTCCTCCGGGACTGCGCGGAGCTGCCGGGTTGAATCCAGACTCATCCAGGAGGCTGTGACTGGTTGCGTCACGGCCAGGTGCTACTCTGGAAAGCCTGGCTGCTTTGCACCAGACCTAGCTTGTACATTTGGGAAAGGGGTCTGGGGTCTGTTGGAGGTAAAGGGAATGTGTGTGCGTGCGTGCGTGTGTTTGATGTGATGTGTATGTGCACCTGTTTAACTCTGGGTGTGTGTGTACGTTTGTGTGTGTGTGTGAGCGTGTGTATGTGTATGCACGTTTTACTATGATCATGTGTGCACACATGTACGTGCCATGTGGGTGTGCCCCTGGGTATTTGAACATGTCTGTGAGCCCGTATGTGCTACTCATGTGTGTGCTTCCATGCGCCTCTGCGCGTGTGGACTCATTTGTAGGTGTGCACACATCTATGTGGATTGTGTGCGTGAACACACGCAGGTGTCATGTCTGTGCCTCTGTGTACTTAAATGCGTGCCTGCCTGTATGTGTGTGTTGCCTTGGGGGTGCTGCAGCATGGGTTGATATGTTCGCGCGTGTGTGTACATATATGTATGAGACACGTGCCGCTGTGTGTGTTGAAATATGTGGGGGGGCACGTATGCGTGGTGTATGATTGCATGTGTGTGCCTGCACACATGGTAATGGGCTTGTGTGTGTAGGCCTGCGTGTGTGTCTCTCCGTGTAGGAGCATGTACGTATGTGGCCTTTGGGTGGGGACAAATGTGTGTGCCCGGGTGTGTGTCTCTGCATGCGTTTAAATAGGCGTGAATGTGCGTGCCTTGGGAACACATTTGTGTGTGATGCACATGTGGGCCTCTGGGTGTGTTTAAATGTGTCGATATGTGTGCTCATGTATGTCTGAGGCACGTGTGTGTGACTGTGTGTGTGTTTGTGTGAGTGGGTGGGGGCATATGCGTGCACGTGGGTCTGTGTTTAAATGTGTGTTAGAATGTGTGTGTGTGCACTTGCATGTGGGAGTGTGCCTATGCGTGTGTGTCTGCGTGTGTTGGGCACGCGTGTGTCTGGGTGTGTGCATGCGGGTACTTGCATGTGGATATTCACATGGGGCCAGTCTGACTGTGCATCTAAATGTGTGTGAAAATATGTGTGTGATTGTGGGGGGAGTGGGCGTGGGCGAATGTGTATTGAAGAGTGTGTTTACATGGATTACTTGTGTGTGTTCATGTATGGGCATGTGAGAGTATGTAAATATGTAGGGGCATTTCTGTTTGTACTGGAGTTAGATAATAACACCTAGCTCTTATCAGAGCTTTCCATCAGGACATTTAGGAGGGCGGGGTCATTTTCCCTATTGCACAGATGAGGAAATTGAGGCACAGGGGCGGGAAGCAGGACTGGGACTAAAACCCTGATTGCCTGAGTCCCACTCCAGTGGTCTTTCTGCTAGGTACCATGACCTAAACGTGGAGGGTGGGACATGGACTAGAGTCTGTGGGGACCTGTCTGCGGGTGGGTGGCTCGTTCATTGATTGCACCCAGCAATGCTGCGGCTAAAGCCCCGAGTGTCTACCTGTTGAGCTGAGGAGCCAGCTGCAGACTCATAAGTCTCGGCTGTGTCCGGCCACCAAGGGGAACCAGAAATGATCTGTTGATGGGCAGGTTACAGGTGTAATTAATTTCCATTGGAGTCGATGGGGCCAGATCCCAGCTGGGATCAATCGGCCATCGCTCCATTGGAGTGAATGGGGCCAGATCCCAGCTGGGATCAATCGGCCATCGCTCCATTGGAGTGAATGGGGCCAGATCCCAGCTGGGATCAATCGGCCGTCGCTCCATTGGAGTGAATGGGGCCAGATCCCAGCTGGGATCAATCGGCCGTCGCTCCATTGGAGTGAATGGGGCCAGATCCCAGCTGGGATCAATCGGCCGTCGCTCCATTGGAGTTATGTGAGGATCTGGCCCACAGATGCTATCCTTTTTGTATGCCAATATCAGAACCATCAGCAGGTCTCAGTGGTGGAGGCTGTGTGATGGGGGTGGGGTTTGGGGGGGGTCAATTCTCCGTTCACAAGCCCCTTTCTGTCTCCTCCCCAGAGCCAGCAGCCTTCTGCCCTGCCCATCACCACAACTGAGCGTCATGGAGCTGCTGGGCCTTGTGCTGCTGTTGGTGACTGGGGGTGAGTCTGTGTGTCTGTACATGGGTCTCTCTGCGGGTGCTGGGGAGGTGGGCTTCCGCGTGTGTGGGCACGTGAGACGCCCATTGGTCATCCAGCTGTAACTCCTGCCTGTCTCCCCCATAGCCATGGCTCAGGACATCCCCCGGATCCTGCGGGGTTTCCAGTGCCGGGAGCACTCCCAGCCGTGGGTTGCAGCGCTTTTTGATGGGGTCCGCTTCCGGTGCACCGGCACCCTGATACACAACCAGTGGGTGGTGACGGCTGCTCGGTGCAACACCGGCCGGTAAGTCTGTTCCCAGGCTGGGGGGTCAAGGGGCTGGTCAGCAGGGGGGAGCCCTCTGCGCTGCAGGGACTGTTCTTCCAAAGGAAGGGGGTTCTCCAGTCTGCCCTTAACTCTGCCCCTTTGGGTGTGTGTGTCCTTAACACCACCCCTTGGGTGTGAATGACTTTAACGCCGCCCCTTGGGTGGATGTGTCCTTAATTCTGCCCCTTTGGATGTGTGTATCCTTAAGTCCCACACTTAAGGATCACTTAAGGATTCACCCTTAACTCCACCCCGCCTTGGGTAAGTGTGTGTCCTTAACTCCGGCACCTTAGGTGAGTGCCCTTAATTCCACCCCTTTTGTGTTAGTGCCCTTAACTCTGCCCCTTGTATGTGCGGGTGGCGGTGTATGTACATCCTTAACTCCACCCCTTGTGTGAATGCCCTTAACTCCACCCCTTTCATTGTCTCATAGATTCCAAGGCCAGAAGGGACCATTCTGCCCATCCATCCTGCCCCTCCTGCATAGCTCAGGCTGGAGAACCTCCCTTGGGGATGCATTGAGGGTGCTCTAGCTCGACCCCCAGATCTGGGCAGGAGGCAGAAATCCCTGTGGGAGGGTCTCCGGACTGGGCTGCGCAGGAGGCCATCCTGGCCCCCTTGCAGTCAAGTGGAGTTTTGCCCTGGGCTTCAGTGTGGCCGGCATTTCACGCAGCCACGTCCCCCGTGACCATGTCCCCTTTCTTCTGCAGCACCCTGAACGTCCGCCTGGGGGAGCACAATCTGTGGCATCTAGACTGGTCAGAGCAGCTGACCATGAGCTCCCGGCTCATCCCGCACCCCCTGTACAACAGCAGCACCAGCCAGAACAACATCATGCTGGTGAAACTCCTGGTGCCGGCCAACACGAATGGCGAAGTTAAGCCACTCCCGCTGCCCAGGAACTGCCCCCGCCCCGATTCGACCTGTGTGCTTTCCGGGTGGGGCTCCAGCACCTTCCAGAAAGGTAGAGGAGCAAAGCCAAAACCAAAACACCAAAGCCAAGGCCCAGGTTTCTACCAGGGAGGGTGATGAACCAAATTTCCCCGGGACGGGGATCTGGGAGCTGGGGGTGGATCGCCACCTCGACACGAGTCAGCCGTGCCACGCTGGGGCGAAACAAGCGAATGCAGTGTTAGGTTGCGTTAATGCCGCTCTGCTCGGCGCTGGTCAGGCCTCAGCTGGAGGACTGTGTCCGGTTTTGGTCACTGCGGTATAGTGAGGGCCAGATTCACCTTTTGCGGGCCCCGGCGCTTGGACCGGGGCCCCTCCCATGCCCTGCACAGAGCTCCCTCTCTCACTCGGCCTTTTCCCCCCAAAGCCCCACGCACTGCTCGCACGAGGGGGGGGGGCGGAGAGGAGCAAGGGGTGTGCGGGGCCTCAGGACAGAGTAGGGGGCAGACCCATGGTCTGGGCGCTGCGGCCCCTTCTGAGCGTGGGCCCAGTGCCACGGCGCCATTGTAAACCCAGGACTGTGTATAGAAAGGATGTAGAGGAACTGGAACGGATCCAGAGGCGAGCGACAAAGATGATCAAAGGGATGGAACCGAAGCCCAACGAGCAAAGGCTGAAGGAACTGGGTATGTTTAGTTTGGAAAAGAGGAGATTTGGAGGGGGGACACAATCAGGGTCTTCAAATACTTGAAAAGCTTCCAAAAAAGAGAGGGAGAAAAGTTGTTCTCTCTCGCCACAGAGGGCAGGACAAGAGGCCACGGGGTCAAACTACACCGGAGAAGATCTAGATTAAATCTCAGGACAGGGCCGTCCCTAGCCATTTTGGTGCCCTACACAGCTCCCCCCCATGGGGGGAGGGGGCTGGCCCCAGGCCTCTGCAGGGGGGCAGGAGCAGGCTTGGGGGACAGGGGAGTGGGTTGGGGCTGGTTTCTCCACTTCCTGCTGCCTGGTCAGTGCAGGGCAGGCCTGACTCCGCACTCATGGGGCGACGGGAAGTGGAGCGACCCGGCCCCAGCCTGCTCCGCTCTGCTCCCCTGAGGTTCCAGCCTCAGGAAGGAAAATCTGATTCGGGTTCAATTTCGAACTGTCCGAAATGGAAAATCCGGGGGGGAAGAAATCAAATTTGAGCTTACTTGTTTTTGGTTTTTTTTTTCATTTCAATTTTGAAAAATGGTTTTTGAAGTGAAAAAAACCTGGCGAGTCCTGCTGGGAAAATGTCAAAAGTTTTAAATGGGTTTTTAATCTCCAGAATTAGCAAACTAGGAAATTCATCACAGCCGCAACCTTGTTGCCGGGAAAGATTCCGTTTCAACAAATTGCCATTTTTTGAATGAGAATCCCCCAAAGAGCAATCTGCTCAGGGTGCACCAGATTCGGAGTCGGGGAGGGATTTTCCCCTGGTTTGATTTGGCAGAGACCATGGGCGGACTTTTTGCCATCCTCTGCAATGTGGTGCGTAGGTCGCCTTCTGCGATAATCTGAGTGATGAATTCCCTGAGTTACCGTGGTCTTCTGCTTTGGTAGCCCCTCGATCTCGCCTGTTCTCGGCCTGTGCACACAGCAGTTTGATCTCCTGAGGACTGAAATGCGTCGGTCTAATTAAAGTCTTTGGGCGCAGTGCAGGGTAATTGAGTGAGAGTCTCTGGCCTCTGCCATACAGGAAATCAGACTAGACGATCGAATGATCCCCTCTGGCCTAAACTCTATGAATCTATGAGCTCAGCAGAGGAGCCAGAGCGTGAGTCAGGAATCTAGGATGGGGATGAAGGGGAATCCATCAGCTGAAGCTGTGTTCTTCCCTTAGGAGCCGACACGAAGGCAGTGAGAGGCACCAGGTTGACACCCAGAGATAGATGCTATATGAGAAAGGGACCCAAGATAGATAGATAGATAGAGGGGGTGTATGGGGCTAGATTGATAGATAGATGATAGAGAAGAGCCACACGTAGCTCTCCCGGATCCCAGCCTGGGCTGAGCATTTACTGGAAATTAGGAGACTCTCACCAACTCTCTCTCCCGCAGGTCACAAGTCTCCAGACCAGTCTCACTGCACCCATCAGCTGCTGCACTCCGACGTCCTGCTCTGTGGGAATATCACAGTTCTGCCTGACACCGAATGCCAGGTCACCCACCCCAACCGCATCACCCCCAACATGATCTGTGCCGGCGTGATCCATGGGGGCACCGACTCCTGCCAGGTGAGGGACATGTGGGTAGGTGAATGGGGCATGCCCCCACACTGGGGCTAGATGGAGCGGTGGGACAGGGTGGGCTGGGGGATCTATGGGGCATGGAGCCCCCTGCTGGGGTAGACAAGCCTGCAGAAGTGGTTGAGATTGCCACAGCCTGGGCTGTCCCAGAGCTCACAGCCAATGATCTCAGCCATCCTCTCTCACAGAATCATAGAATATCAGGGTTGGAAGGGACCTCAGGAAGTCATCTAGTCCAACCCCCTGCTCAAAGCAGGACCAATTCCCAATTTTTGCCCCAGATCCCTAAATGGCCCCCTCAAGGATTGAACTCACAACCCTGGGTTTAGCAGGCCAATGCTCAAACCACTGAGCTATCCCTCCCCGCCCCGTCCCTTCTGCTTCCGCTTCACCCAAAAACAACTAGAAGGGGCTGGTGGGAACAGAACAGGGGTGAGAAATGCCAAATTAACTCTCTCTCTTCAAAATGCTTCAAACCATCGACTGTCCCATCACCTCACCCTGGCTCGGAGGACACACTCGGTGATCCTGCGGTTCCCAGCAGCGACGGCAAGGGGCGTTCGGCCTGAAGTGTTTTAGCTGGGCTGACCAGATAGCAAGTGTGAAAAACTGGGACACTTTTTCGGGGGTGGGAGGGGTCACCATTGCGTATATAAACAAAGCCCCTCAGATTGGGGCATCTGGTCACCCTAGTTTTAGTCCAAAGACTGGGGTTACTCTCTTGGCATTTGATCAATACAGATCCAGCCGTGCGGGACGGACGCGACTTTTCCAGCTGAACCCTCCGCCCTGCGAAATGGCGGGTTTCCACTCTCTGGGGCAAACAGGGACGTGGAGGAAGTAGCCTGAGATTGTGGCCCCTCCAAGTTGGACATGGCCATTTGCTGGGCAGCTCTTGTGCGGCCATGTTGGGTTGTTGGCGGTGCAGCTCGTTAATGGCGCTGGGATTGTTCCGATGCCCGGCTGTCTTCATTTGCTTCCAAACAGTCTTCCTTCCCCAGCCCTTCTGGAGAAGAGCCCAGGGGCTAGCACCCTCGAATGGGAGTCAGGGCTACTGGGTTCTAGCCCCAACTCTGGGAGTGGGGTCTAGTGGATTAGAGCAGGGGGGCTCGGAGTCGGAACTCCTGGGTTCTTTTCCTGGTTCTGCTGCTGATTTCCTGTATGACTTTGGGCAAGTCCCTTCCTACCTTTGTTTCCCTTCCTACCCTTAGTCCATTTAGATTGTAACTTCTTGAGGGCAGGGACTGGCTATATAGTGGGCCCGGGGCCAACGCTGGGCCCACCTGAACTGAAGAGCCCAACTCAGGTGTAATAGATTCTGTGACTGGCGCAGGGTGATGGATGCGGAAGGTTACACAAGCCCATATCTTAACTTTAGCAAAGCTTTGGATACCGTCTCCCACAGTGTTCTTTCCAGCAAGTTAAAAATGTATGGATTGGATGAATAGACTATAGGGTAGATAAAAACAACGAGGAGTCCGGACTCCTCGTTGTTTTGTGGATACAGACTAATACAGCTACTCCTCTGATGTAAGGTGGAAAGAAAGCTGGCTAGATTGTCAGGCTCAACAGGTAGTGATCAATGGCTCGATGTCTAGTTCACAGCCGGTATCAAGCGGAGTACCCCAGGGGTTGGTCCTGGGGCCAGTTTTGTTCAACATCTTTATTAATGACCTGGATGATGGGTTGGATTGCACCCTCAGCAAGTTCACAGATGACAGTAAACTGTGGGGAGAGATAGATATGCTGGAGGGTAGGGATAGGGTCCAGATTGACCTAGACAAATTGGAGGATTGGGCCAAAAGAAATCTGATGAGGTTCAACAAGGACAAGTGCAGAGTTCTGCACTTAGGAAGGAAGAATCCCATGCACTGCTATAGGCTGGGGACTGACTGGCTAAGCAGCAGCTCTGCAGAAAAGGACCTGGATGAGAAGCTGGATATGAGTCAGCAGTGTGCCCTTGTTTCCAAGAAGGCTAATGGCATATTGGGCTGCATTAGTAGGAGCATTGCCAGCAGATCGAGGGAAGTGATTATTCCCTGCTATTCAGCACTGGTGAGGCTACATCTGGAGTATTGGGCCCCCCACTATAGAAAGGATGTGGACAAATTGGAGAAAGTCCAGCGGAGGGCAACGAAAATGATCAGGGAGCTGGAGCACATGACTTATGAGGAGAGGCTGAGGGAACTGGGTTTATTTAGTCTGCAGAGGAGAAGAGTGAGGGGGGAGTGGATAGCAGCCTTCAACTACCTGAATGGAGCTCGGCTGTTCTCAGTGGTGGCAGATCATAGAATCATAGAATATCAGGGTTGGAAGGGACCTCAAGAGATCATTTAGTCCAACCCTCTGCTCAAAGCAGGACCAATCCCCAGGTAAATCAGAACAAGAAGCAATGGTCTCAAGTTGCAGTGTGGGAGGTCTACATTGGATATTAGGAAACACTATTTCAACAGAAGGGTGGTGAAGCACTGGAATGGGTTACCTAGGGAGGTGCAGGAATCTTCATCCTTAGAGGTTTTTAAGGCCTGGCTTGACAAAGCCCTGGCTGGGATGATTTAGTTAGGGTTGGTCCTGCTTTGAGCAGGGGATTGGACTAGATGACCTCCTGAAGTCTCTTCCAACCCTGATATTCTATGATTCTATGATAGGCATGGCCCATTCACTCTGAACGGCAGTGCTGGAGAGTGAAGCCTAGCTCTGTCCCATGAGGGACCCGGGTTGGGCTCTCTACGTGTGATGCTTGTCCTATGAACACACTTTGCGGTGCTTGCCCTGCAGGGAGATACCGGCTCACCACTCGTCTGCCAGAGGGAACTTCAGGGTGTCGCCTCCTGGGGCTTCGAAGAATGCTCCCACCCCAACCGGACTGGCGTGTTCGTCAAGGTGTGCAACTACATCAACTGGCTGCGGGAGACCATGAGAACTGGCTGACCATGCCTGCCAGGACGGGAGTGCTGGCGGGGAGACCGCAGAATAAAACAGCGACAATTGCGGCCCTGCTTCTCTGGTGTCTCCTTCCCGCATGGTCAAGCCTGCAGCTCGATCCACCTAGGGACTCAGGTGCCCACGCAACACTGACGTGCACGAGACCCCTGCTCATCCCATAGGTGCCTAACCTCCCCCGGCACCTACATTTCGGCTGGTCCTGCCTAACTCCCAGCCCCGCCCCACCTCTACCAAAGCGCCAGTCGCTCGTGCCTAAACCCCAGCGGGATTCTCAAGCGTGCTCCCATGCTGTCACAAGACCAGGCCACAGGTGGGGGGGCTGTGCCTTGTGATGGGTTCAGCAGTCAGGCCTCGTAGTTAGGGCTGGCGTCAGTAGCCTGGAATCAGGGTCAGAACTGGAGTTAGGGGTCATCTGGACTGAGGCAGAGCGGGAGCAAGGCTGGGGACAAGCAGGTGCAGGAGCTAGTGTGGCTGGCCACTGACTCTTCCAATCAATCAGGCAAGGTAGCCCATTAGGCAGCCTCCAACAGGCCAGCTGTGCTCGTTAGATTGCCTGGAGACTGGCTCTGCAGCAGGTCCTGACACTTACTGTGACGCTTTCGGCCACAGAGACCCCCTTGGGACTGTCACCTGACGTGCTGAATTTACCTCTGAGCCAATTTTCCCTGCCAGCTTGGGACTCCAGAACCCTGCCTTGTTGAGCCAGACACGCCAGCCTGCTGCAACACAGACCCAGGGTCTGGTCCATACCCCCAAAGCTGCAGACTTAACTGAAAACAGCTCAGCAAGTACTCCTGTCTCCAACACCCAGACGCCCAGCTCCCATTGGGATCCAAACCCCAAATAAATCCGTTTTACTCTGCATAAAGCTTATACTGGGTAAACTCATAAATTGCCGGCCCTCTATAACACTGATAGAGAGGTATGCACCACTGTTTGCTCCCCCAGGTATTAATCACTTACTCTGGGTCAATTAATAAACAACAGTGATTTTTTTAAAAAAAGAAAAGGAGGACTTGTGGCACCTTAGAGACTAACCAATTTATTTGAGCATGAGCTTTCGTGAGCTACAGCTTCATCGGATGAAGTGAGCTGTAGCTCACGAAAGCTCATGCTCAAATAAATTGGTTAGTCTCCTTTTCTTTTTGCGAATACAGACTAACACGGCTCTTACTCTGAAACCAGTGATTTTTTTAAGTATAAAAAGTAGGATTTAAGTGGTTCCAAGTAATAACAGACAGAACAAAGTAAGTTACCAAGCAAAATAAAACAAAATAAAACCTTTACCTTTATCTCTGTCTTTCCTAAACAGCACATACCCTTCAATACCTGTAGTCCAGTCATGACTACTATTCCACCGTGTTTCTGTTATCCCTATAATATCCGGTTTCACTTCCTCCACCATCACTCTAGTTCCTCCATTTTGTTACCTAGGCTCCTCGCATTAGTGTACAAACATCTTAATTTTTGCTGTTTGGCTTCTCTCACGTTCTTTACCCGATTAGGCACAGACATTCTACCACTAGTATCACCTATTGGACTGGTATGTACACTACCCTTCCTCATATCCATTCTCCTACCCATGGCTGTATCCTTTCTTACTTTGTTTTCTTCCCTCTCAATGTTAAAATCTGGTGTGGACATTACCTGGACATGTCCCCCAAATTCCTAGTTTAAAGCTCTCTTAATCAGTTGTGCCAGACTCCATCCTAGAAGTCTATTTCCCTCCCTACTCACATGACTTATGAGGAGAGGCTGAGGGAACTGGGATTGTTTAGCCTGCAGAAGAGAAGAATGAGCGGGGATTTGATAGCTGCTTTCAACTACCTGAAAGGGGGTTCCAAAGAGGATGGATCTAGACTGTTCTCAGTGGTACCAAATGACAGAACAAGGAGTAATGGTCTCAAGTTGCAGTGGGGGAGGTTTAGGTTGGATATTAGGAAAAACTTTTTCACTAGGAGGATGGTGAAACACTGGAATGCATTACCTAGGGAGGTGGTGGAATCTCCTTCCTTTGAGGTTTTTAAGGTCAGGCTTGACAAAGCCCTGGCTGGGATGATTTAATTGGGGATTGGTCCTGTTTTGAGCAGGGGGTTGGACTACATGATCTCCTGAGGTCCCTTCCAACCCTGATATTCTATGATTCTATGAAGTCCATCTCGAGAGAACAGTCCTCTGTCCATGAATGCTTCCCAGTGGCCATACATTCCAAAGCCCTCCTTATAAGCAAAGGTGGTGGAGTAGCATTGTATATCAATGATGAGGTAGACTGTAAAGAAATAAGAAGGACGGAATAGATAAGACAGAGTCTGTCTGGGCAAAAATCAAATTGGGGAAGAAAGCTACTAGAGCCTCTGCTGGGATAGTGTTTGGGGTGTGCTATAGACCGCCGGGATCCGATGTGGATGGATAGAGACCTCTTTAATGTTTTTAAAGAAGTAAATACTAATGGTAATTGCATGATCATGGGAGACTTTAACTTCCCAGATATAGACTGGAGGACAAGTGCTCGTAATGATAACAGGGCTCAGATTTTCCTGGATGTGATAGTTGATGGATTCCTTCACCAAGTAGTTGCTGAACCAACAAGAGGGGATGCCATTTTAGATTTGGTTTTGGTGAGTAGTGAGGACCTCATAGAAGAAATGGTTGTAGGGGACAACCGTGGTTCGAGTGATCATGAGCTAATTCAGTTCAAACTAAATGGAAGGATAAACAAAAATAGATCTGCAACTAGGGTTTTTGATTTCAAAAGGGCTAACTTTAAAAAATTAAGGAAATTAGATAAGGAAATTAGGATAGAGTGGAGGTTAAGGATAATTTAGTCATGGCCCAATATCTAAACAAATACTTTGCTCAGTCTTTAATAAGACTAAAGAGAATCTTAGGGATCATGGTAGCATGACAAATGGGAATGAGGATATGGAGGTAAATATTAACACATCCAAGGTAGAAGCCAAACTCGAACAGCTTAATGGGAACGGGGGTCCCAGATTATCTTCATCCAAGAATATGAAAAGGAACTGGCACATGAAATTGCAAGCCCATTAGCAAGAATTTTTAATGAATCTGTAAACTTAGGGCTTGTATGTATGACTGGAGAATTGCTAACAATTAAGAAAGGGAAAAAAAAATGATCCGGGTAACTACAGGCCTGTTAGTTTGACATCTGTAGTATGCAATTCAAAAAATTTTTGAAGGAAAAAGTAGTTAAGGACATTGAGGTCAGTGGTAACTGGGACAAAATACAACATGGTTTTACAAAAGGTAGATTGTGCCAAACCAACCTGATCTCCTCCTTTGAGAAGGTAGCAGATTTTTTAGACAAAGGAAATGCAGTGGATCTAAATTACCTCAGTTTCAGTAAGGCGTTTGATACAGTTCCACATGGGGAATTATTAGTTAAATTGGATAAGATGGGGATCAATATGAAAATTGAAAGGTGGATAAGGAACTGGTTAAAGGGGAGACTGCAAAGGGTTACACTGAAAGGTGAACTGTCAGGCTGGAAGGAGGTTACTAGTGGAGTTCCTCAGGGATCGGTTTTGGGACCAATCTTGTTTAATCTTTTTATGACTGACCTTGGCACAGAAAGCGGGAATGTGCTAGTAAAGTTTGCGGATGACACGAAGCTGGGAGGCATTGCCAATACAGAGAGGGACCGGGATATCATACAGGAGGATCTGGATGATCTTGTAAACTGGAGTAATAGTAATAGGATGAAATTTAATAGTGAAAAGTGCAAGGTCACGCATTTAGGGATTAATAACAAGAATTTTTGTTATAAACTGGGGATGCATCAATTGGAAGTAACGGAGGAGGAGAAGGACCTCGGAGTATTAGTTGATCACAAGATGACTATGAGCTGCCAATGTGATATGGCTGTGAAAAAAGCTAATGCGGTCTTGGGATGCATCAGGCAAGGTATTTCCAGTAGAGATAAGGAGGTGTTAGTACCGTTATACAAGGCCCTGGTGAGACCTCACCTGGAATACTGGGTGCAGTTCTGGTCTCCCATGTTTAAGAAGGATGAATTCAAACTGGAACAGGTACAGAGAAGGGCTACTAGGATGATCCGAGGAATGGAAAACCTGTCTTATGAAAGGATACTCAAAGAGCTTGGCTTGTTTAGCCTAACCAAAAGAAGGCTGAGGGGAGATATGATTGCTCTCTCTAAATGTATCAGAGGGATAAATACCAGGGAGGGAGAGGAATTATTTAAGCTTAGTACCAATGTGGACATAAGAACAAATGGATATAAACTGGCCATCAGGAAGTTTAGACTTGAAATTAGGTGAAGGTTTCTAACCATCAGAGGAGTGAAGTTCTGGAACAGCCTTCCAAGGGGAGCAGTGGGGGCAAAGGACATATCTGGCTTCAAGACTAAGCTTGATAAGTTTATGGAGGGGATGATATGATGGGATAGCTTAAGTCTGGCAATTAATTGACCTTTGACTATTAGCAGTAAATATGCCCAATGGCCTATGATGGGACACTAGATAGGGTGGGATCTGAGTTACTACAGAGAATTCTTTCCTGGGTGTCTGGCTGGTGAGTCTTGTCCACATGCTCAGGGCTTAGCTAATCGCCATATTTGGGGTCAGGAAGGAATTTTCCTCAAAGGCAGATTGGCAGAGGCCCTGGGGATTTTTCACCTTCCTCTGCAGCATGGGGCATGGGTCACTTGCTGGAGGATTCTCTGCACCTTGAAGTTGTTAAACCACGAGTTGAGGACTTTAATAGCTCAGACATAGGTCAGGGGTTTGTTCCAGGAGTGGGTGGGTGAGATTCTGTGGCCTGCGTTGTGCAGGAGGTCAGACTAGATGATCATAATGGTCCCTTCTGACCTTAAAGTCTATGAGTCTAAAACACGCAAGTCTAAGCCTAATGTGTTAAGAAACTGAATACAAGTAAATCTCACCCTTATGTCTACACTTATGAAATTAGGTCGAAATTATAGAAGTCAGTTTTTTAGAAAGTGATTT